GTCAATGGGAGCTTAGTGCAAAGTTCCAGGGTACAATATATATAACCCGACCTGGAACTCTTGTCTCTGATCAGCATGATTGCAGCGTGGATACATTAAATATAATTGGTTGCCTTATTCTATTGCTGCATTGTGATGAGATAGTTCACCTATCTCTGTGGTGCAAGAAGCGCTGCCTTGCACCCCCAAAATTCTCCTTTAACCTTCCTATTTTCTTCTCTTCTTTTTCCTCCCTCCCTCTTTCCACCAGCTGCTTCCTGGCTTTATCAAATATCACTGGAAAATTTTCAATGAGCAGCACCCGATCCGTTCCAATATTTTGTGGTCTGAACTTTTAGAGCTCTTTGGAAAGATGACAGCTTTGGTCTGATGCTGTCATTCCTGCATTTCACAGCTATAAATGCGTGAAGTTAATTGCTAAAGAACACCTGCTCAGGCTAGGCAAACAAAGAACAGTATGATACTCAATTGGTGCTATACCTTGTTAAAGATGGAGCTCTCTTTTCCAATTGTTTCTAGTCTCTTCAGCTACTGGAGTTAGCAGTGGGACATAGTAAACTACTAGCAGGAACATGTCAACACATGGAAGCATTTATACCCATTCTTAAAAATAACCCCTTAATTCATAAAGTAGTACCATATTTTCCTGTGACAGTGTATTTATTCAGGACAGTTTACAGTTAAAATGCTGCTGGAGGTTGAACAGGAAAATTAAATTGAAGATAAGTCTAACTTAATTACAGATGCAAAAATTCCTGTTTTTTAAATATAAACGCATTATTCTACTTCCATTTTCTTGGTGTAAGACTAATGTATACTGTGACTCACACACTTTACTGTACAGATTGGTCATTGTCCCTTAGTGTACTGAAATTGAGGGAGTTATTTTCCCCAGTTCGTCTCCGGTTTTTATCGCGACAGGTCTGTGATGCTGCACAGGATTTGTGGCTGCCCTTTGGAACTATGTAATTAACTTATTCTTTGAAACTTTTTTTATTAAGGTAACGTGGCAATAAAATGTTACAATGCTACATCATACTTTACTTATTACTTATTCAGGATCAGGTTAACATTCAAAGAACCTGGCTAAAGACCCTGGCTTGATGGCTGGGGAGTCCTCCTCCTCTGAGTATGCTAGAAAGAGTGATCACATTTCTAAATACCTATTTTTGGCCCTTCTCTTGTGTACATGCTTGGTGTGAAAGTTTTTCCATTATAAGGATGGTCCGTATTTTACTATACCAAGATTCCATAGGAAGAGAAGTCACATTTTTTCAGTAATGTGCAATACAAAGTATTGCTGCTAAAAAGAAAGACCTTAAAAAAGATAAAATACAAAAGAAATTAATTTGTCATCCTGTTAAAAATGTAGATCCTGTTTTGGAGCATTCAGAAAGTAGGTCAGGGACCTCTAGGAAACTAAATTTTGTCATAAAATGCAGTTCTTTAATAATTCCCTTTGAAAACCATCTAATTCCTGGACACAACTACCATATGTGCAAGTATGTTCCCCTTTCCTCACAACCCCTCCAGCAGAGTGCCTCCCTAGTAGCAAAAATATGGTGGATCTTAACTGGAGCCATCTGTATGGTAATTTATAAAAATCTTCTTTATGAACTGCACAAATTGAGGATGTATATCCCCTTTCCCGTTTAAAGACCCACACATCCAGATCAGTTTTTATCCAAATCCCTCTCCCATCTTTTCATTCTCTGTAAATGATCTAGAACCAAATGTAGAAGATTATCCCCCAGTATAACATGGGCTATGAAAATCCTGTCCTCCTATTGGCTAAAAGTAGCCAGTAGTAATTAATATACTGGAAAGAGGACACTTGATGATCTGTTATACATGTATTAACTGGTTTATATCTTTAAAAATATGAATATTTTATATGATGTGCATGTTTTTATATATAGCATCACCTACAGGGCTAAATCCTGTAGTCCTTAACTCAGGAAACACCTCCACTACCTATAAAACAATGCCCTCAAGTAATACAGATCACCTGGTATAAATATACTGTGGGATTAGATTTATTATATAGAAAAGATTCCTTGTCGTCTTTCCTACTCTTGTGCATTCTCCTTTTAATAAACACAAACAATTTTGGGGATGGATTGGCTGAGAACTTGGTAAATTCTGGATAAATGACATTTATTTGGCTAAATAATTGCAAAGTCTCTGTTGTGTGAGCTGGCTTTTCCAAGATTTTTTCTGAACTTATTATTTTCTATCTCCGATTTTTAGTGACTTGATAGTTGTGATAATTGGGCCTACAAATTTACCTTAATTGTGAGCTCAAGTGTGAAAAGTGAGCAAAAGTTCATAAAACATCACAATAGCCTTGCATAACAAATGTTGAAAAGGTGCAAAAGGGAGACAGACTCAATTAGTCTAAAATAGAAGGCCTACTACTAAATCTCAAGGCCTGTGTCAAGACTGTGCCTGGTAAACAAGAGAAGTTTGGGACTGGAAATCAATGGACCAATATTGGTGTTTTGGAAATTAGTCTTAATGGAAGAACAAAATAATGAGGGAATGGTCTATTCCACTGATCACTCCCTTTTGGGGGTCCCTAAAAAAACCCAGAGAGACTTGGGGGAAAAATACAGACAGATGGAAGCGAGCACAACAATTGCTGCCTGAAAGAAGGGAATAGAGTGAGCTTCATATCAGGGTTGACACCCCCACCACTTCCTAGGAGCCTGGGGTTCAGTGTGACACCAGTGTGTCTTCATTGTCCTAATCCTGAGAGAAGTCCTAGCCAAACTGGGCCAGAGAGAGGGCCCAGAAGACTCCACCACCTCCGTTGGCTCTGAGTAAATCCCAAACACCACATGTAATGTGATGAGATTTTCTCCCCTCTCCTCCACAGATGTGTCCTTTTCCTTCCCCACGTTATTTCTTATCTTGCTCCCTTTCCTTTCTGCCTAATAAGAATCTGTCTTAACCAGCCAAGACTGCATATTTTACAACGCCGCTGTAATTCTGTGACCAGAAGAGGCAGCTAAATGCAATACCCTAAACAGGCTAACACTGGTATAAGTTTGCCAGATCTCGGAGTGGCTGATAAGATCATATACTGTGCCTGTGTTTTTCCAGCAGCGAGAGTGCAAGTGAAAGTCAACACCAGAGACAGAAGCTGCATTTTCTGTCTTTGCTGTTCTTTTCTCTCCTCTCTTGTGTGTGTTGTTTTGTCTTTTAGGAAACAGGATCAGACTTTAACAACAGCTCCAGCCCATCTCAATTAACTTCATCTCTTTTCCCCCAAAAGGACAGCTGTTACCATCATTGATACCTTTTAAAAGACTGCCAGACAAGGGGTAGTTTTTTTTTCCCTTTCTAAAGACTCTTTCTGCCTAAAGGGAAAGGGAACAAGAGATGTTGTTAAAATGAAAGCCTTACTTCATACTTTACATTTAGAGTACTTTAACTGTTTTCCCTTCTTTTCTGTATCTCTAATAAAAGGTTAAAATGATGTTTAATGTTTGTCATGGTGCTAAGCAGGCTGAGCTCTCTGTATACTATATCACAAACCTTGTTTAACACTGTTTAATGTTGGATAGTGACAGGACCATGTTAACACCTGTGACTCTTTGGGCCTATATATTCTGTCTAGAATAATACATTAGCAGCCACAACCTTAAACCCCCTTCCCCTTTTTTTGTTTTTGTTTTTTGTTTTGTTAAATGAACAAAATAGTCCTTTAAATCAAGGACTGCTGAATAATAAAAGTGAAAAGCAGCAGATGTGTAAAGAGTTACTAAAAGTTGATGTGGGACCAGTCATGTCTTTGTTTTGTTTGTTTATTTATAATATCATAATTGTTACCTCAAAAATATTGCTTGACCTCAGTTAATTATTCCCCTTCCCCCCAAAGATATTGTTGTATCATGTAACATATGTTGTCTAACTGTGTTCTTAAAAACACCCGAGATACAGTGGATGCTGTCAATAAAAAGGCAAAGGAAACAAAAGAGGCCTGTCTTCTGTATTTCACATACCTAAGACATAAACAAATAGTAATGCTACAAAGAAATAGGACAAATCATCAAGAAAAATCCGGAAATGTCTTATATTATTGATCTCTTCCCATAAATCTATTAAAAACCTTAGGCTGCCCTGCCCCCAAAACACCCACTCCCAGCATGTCCCCTGTTAAGGAGTTTGTAAAGGAGTCCTCGGAAGGCCAGCCTGCAGCTGTCTTCTGCAGTTCTTGCACCACAAGAATCTGCTCACGGTGGAACTAGGGTTTTTGATCCACCTTATGCTGTGACAGCCCTTTTACGTGGTTTACAGGGGCTGGAGCAGGGCTGAGCAGCTCATCCTAAGCATGTAAGAAGTCCCACTAAAATTAATAGAACTACTTATATGCTTAGTTAGGCATGTGTTAAAGTACTTTGCTGAATCGGTGGCCTTGTTTGTTTGTTTTTAATTTACTCATAGACATGTTGTTTAGAGCTTGAATATAAAATGGTAATAGCCATAAATTTACTAAATCTGTTAGAGATAATACTATACTGCTGATTTGTATGAATGAACACAGAACACGGTGTCATTTCAGGGTAGCCTCTAAGCACCATCTTTGTCTTCACTAGGTTTGGTGCAAATTTCAGTGGATCTTCAGTCACAAGGTAAACACGCAAAAGGGTTAGCGCTTCTCCATCTTAGTGGTGGGTGAACTGTCTGGGAGAATAAAGTACCATCCAATTTGATGACATGATGGTGAGTGGGACTTTAATTGTCATCACTTGGTCTTGAGGGAAGGGAATAGGTCAACAGGATAGGGTGAAACTTCTTTGGTGTCCCTCCCCACTACAAGAAACTTGGGCAGGGAGGGTTTCCCTTCTAAAGTTCTGAGTTTTGCCAGGGACAACATATATAATAGTGTATCTGTCAATGGCATGACCGCATAATACCACTTGATCGCCAATGTGGGACATTTATGCATCCCACATCTACACTAAAATGACACAAGACCATTATTCTAATGTCAGGTCTGTCCTGGGTATTCTAATTGCTTGAAACAAGGAAGAGGTGATTGTGTGTCTACCCAGAAGTACAAGTTGAAGAAGACTTTGATGATGAACCTGAGGAAGACTTTGATATGGTGCAGGAACCAGAACCCCCGGCTGGTAAGTTAGAGTGGCTCCCCCTAGCTTCCCACCAATATCTCTCTTGCACTGGTACTAAATTCCCAATTTTAATTTCAAGGGCATTTGAAGTAATGTGCACTTATTGTTCCTCTCTGGAAAACATACCATGCATTGCTCTGTGTCTGTGTGTGAACTGCAGTGCTGTAGCCATGCCATTATCATGCTCCATCTCCTTACCAAACTTCTCAAGCTTTTTCCCTCCATTCATCTCCTGCCCTGCTCCACCTGAAAATTGGCCTCAAGCAAGGCAGAGTTATAAATCAATGATTTAATTGATTTTGAAGAACCACAATTAGTGCCTGTGCCTTGACTTCTAAAGCTAATTTCTCAAATACTTTTAAAAAGTAATGATCAGTATGCCCCTGTGCCTGCAGTTCTCAGCCACCTGTCAGGCAGCGAGGGCTGAGGGGTGTGTGTGTGTGTGTGTGTGTGTGTGTGTATTGAGGTCTCCCTAGGGGAAAGGAACACAGTTGTAGAAAATGTATGGTTGGTTGTGCAAGGAAAAGTTAGTGGAAACACTCTTTTCTTCCTTGGAAGTTTGCAGACTCCAAGTCTCTGTTCCTGGTCTCTGCCCTCTCCCTACAGAGAGCCATGCTGCATAAAGTGGGATGGGAGGGGAGGGGAGAAAGGGGATGTTCCACCCCCATGGTCATAGAAGAACAGTGCTATGTCCCTTTCCAGTTGTCTGATGTGAGGGGTTGTGGTGCTGAGTTTGATTTTCAGGAAACTTAATGAAGTTGCAGTGTGTCTCTTTCTTTCCCTGCCCATTTCACCATCATTAGGCAGGCACAGGGCCAGGATTTTCAGCTACAGCTGGGGTATGTGTGTGTGGTTCGTGGTTCACATCTCCTGTTGCATGAAATCTCCACATCCTAGCTGAGAATGTTGTCAATTTCCGTTCAAATTTCCTCCCAATCTTGCAAGCATAATTGCAGCAGACTTCTGTTGAAGCAAAAACTCCTGCTGGTTCTTGAGGTTCACCAGCAGTGGAAATCTGCTTGGTCCACCTGCATAGCTGACCAAAACCCTCCATTCAGTGGAGGTGTGACTATTAGCAAAAACATCTCTCTGATGTAGATTGCTGGATCTCCTTGGGAGGACAGGAAAGCCACTTCTCTTTTCCATTCTGGTACTTTGAAAATTGCTGTTTTCTCCAGATGTTGGCCAGCCTTAAAGGAAGAAATTGTACACATGTAATATAGCTCTGGAAAGGAATTTCCCCACTTCTCTGCTACCTCTTCAGACAGAATGAACATTTCCAATGGTTACAAACACTACTAAATGTTTCTCCCCAATAAGAAAAGGAGTGTGACTCTGCTCCAGCCTCATGGGGTGGCAGCATATTTATGTGAAGCAAGGATGTTGAGACAGTTACTTTCCTGGAATGCTCAGAAGTATCAAAATCGTGGCCTTCAGCAGCAAAGTTATGGGGGTGGGGGAATTTCTCAGTTTGCTCCAAAGGCCAAAAATATAATTTTCTTTTTGTCTTTGAATTTGCAGGGCCTTGCGCTCCTGAGAGGGAAACCATGCCCCCAAGAGGGCAGGAGCAGCACCCCAGAGAGTGCAGGGGTAGACGGAGAAGGGGATAGGGATGGACAGGAGAAGCCAGGAGCAATTTGAGTTCCTTAAAGCAAGGGAGGAGCAGTGTCTTCAGCAGGAGAAGAGACCTCTGGAGATGGAGGTGAGCCACGCCCTAGGGAACAGGAACGTTCCCTAATGGAGAGGCTTCGAGGACTGGTGACTGACAGACTGCAGCATCTGTCTGCTGCTGAGGCCCCAGAACCAGCCCATCAACTACCATTGCTGCTGCCTTCTCTGGTTGCCACCCAGGGTGCTGCTGAGCCTGTAGGTCCTGTTCCAATGACCACCCAGGAGAACAATGCTGGGCGTGCAGGAATTCCCGAATGCCACCATGTACTGGCCCCTAAAGCCCGTCAGAAGAGATGTCCCTTATTTTCACTGTGAGTCATTATCTCTTATCATTCACCCCTTCTGATGGGAGACAGGTGCAAAGATATTAAACTGTGGGTGCTATTCTTGGTTGTGAGCCGTTAATTTAAAAAAAATATGTTCTGTTTTGAGAATACTTCCTTAAAATCTTTATTACATGTTACGTTTTGTTCAGTTGTATCTGGCACCTCCTTCCTAAGTATGATGAACTGAGGGTGTTTTTTGATTTGGGAATGGACCTCAAGCTTCCTACCTTGTGTAAACAAATGATGTATAAAATTCTGGTGCTATGACTATGGAAATATTTCTGAGTCTCCCACAAAATTAAAAAATATCTGAAGTCCCAGGGATACAGAGCAGGGCTGGGGAAAGTGAAGTGTATGTTATAGATGCTTTTCAACATAGCAGGTGCCTTGCATAGGGTTGATCAATGTCTGTCTTAATGCATTTGTTGAATGTGTTGAAAATGAAAAACCAAAGCCAACAACAAAAAAGGGAACATACCAGCAATCACACAGCATCTGCCAGTACCCTGTACAACCTGCCCCCTATCCATCCCCAAAACCTTTAGCATTTTCAAGCAGACCGGGGAATTAGTGGTTTCTAACAACTGTGAAATGTACTTGGCACTAGTGACCATTTTAAGTTACTGAACACAGTGGCTGCAACACACCCACCCACACAGGAAACCCTCATAAACATTTTAAAAACATTTAACTGCGTGTGGTAATAGGGGTTTCTAAAGATGAGTTAACTGTGCCAGGCTGTTGAGGCATTAAATAGTTATTCAGGCACACGGTGATGTCATTTCTCTCCATCACTGGGAAAATCCCACACCTTAAACATGTCTCAAAAGGTTGATGTTATGGGTTCAGTCCAGCAGTGAATTGTGCTGTTCAGTACAATACTTTGCAACCCAGTATTCAGAAAAGTACAAACGGGTTCTTCACCCACCAAAGCGAAACTGGAAACCGTTGTGTCAAGTTGGGCTCCCCATACAGTTGTAAAGGGGAGTAAGGAGATGCAAAATAAAAACCAACTCATGTGTAACAATGCCTGAAACTGTTGCTATCATTAGACCCACCCCATTACTTTTCAAAACCGAGTCACAACTGATGAACTGGCTTACATTCAGGTGTGATTAGTGAGAAGGACAAAAACACTGAATGCATAACATGGCCCCCACCTTCCATAGTAGAAACCCAACCCCAAACTCTTAACACAGCGTAGGTGCCCTGGAATAGGCTTTAATATGTACAATGTGACATGCAGGAAGGGGTAATGCACTTCAGCTCCAGCACATCAAAGAGGAACAAAACCCTTAAAAAGCTATGAAGTCTCTTAAGTATGTGGGCGTATTACCTCATGTACACGCCAAACAGTCTCACAGAAGGGATGTGAATATGTCCCTTGGCAAAAACGCAAGGCAGAGGTCATTCTTTGCCTCCGTGCTGTACCAGTGTGTGTGCGTATGTGGCAGTGATTCTCAGACTTTTGTACTGATGATCCCTTTCACACAGCAAGCATCTGAATGCGACCCCCCGCCTTATAAATTCAAAACACAATTTTTTATATTAAATACTATTATAAATGCTGGAGGCGAAGCAGGATTTGGAGCTAGAGGCTGACAGCTTGCAACCCCCACGTAATAACCTCACAACCCCCTGAGGGGTCATGACCCCCAGTTTGAAAATCCCTTGTATATGGTATCTCTAATTTCCCTTGCCTGCTGGGACCCAGGCCCAGCATACATGTGCATGGGATCCATCTGCCTGTACAGAGTTTGTGAACTAGTCTTGTCCTGAGCCCACTCAAAACTCTCACCTCTACCCTCACAAATGTGCAGGGTGCAACAGGCAATGATCATATGAATGGCGTTTGCCACACTGGCATCCAGAGGTGTGCATAGGTAGCGTTAAGGAGCCTTCGGTAAACCGAATGCACATTCCATGACCATTTTGCCCGTCTTCAGCAACACGGTTGATGTCAGGATACAGGTTCATGAGCCAAGGCAGGAGCAGATAAATGGAGTTCCCTAAAATAACAGTTGGCACAGGTACATGGTACAGAGCTACATTGTTTCTAGGAAATAAAGCTCCTTCTCCCACCTTCCAGTACAATCTCAGTCTCCTTAGCACCTGGGCATCATGAATCTTTCCAGTGTTCCCCATGTTAGTATTCATGAATCTGCCTCTGTGGTCCACTAAGTCTTGCAGAATGATGGAATACTAACCTCTTCAGGTCGCTTACTCAGTTGCCCCTTGTGGATAAGTATGCAGGTGCCATCAGTGGCTCTTGCACAGTTTGGAAATGTCATCCTTTGAAAATCAGCCATACGTTCTTGAACTTTCTTATGCCAACCTCCTGTGGGTAAACCACAAAGTTAATCGCTTCACAACCATGACCCCAACGGAGGACTTTCACCCCCAAACTGTTTGGAATGGACCTATAGCTGTCTGGGGTAGCCAGGTTCCACAAGGCAATAGCAACCCATGTCTGAACTGGTGTGGCTTTCCTTATCTGGGTGTTCTTGTCCTGAAGAGTTGGTGCCAGCTCCTCACACAACTCCATGCAAGTCTATTTCCTCATGCGGCAGTTCTGAAGCTGCTGCTCTCCATGTGTGACTGAAAGCACCTCTGTATTCACACCCTACACATTATTATAATAATCTTTGTGCAAAATATGCCTTGAGGTATAATTTAAAAACTAATAACACCCTGATGATCTATATTCTTGTGTAATGTATGTACAAAATGTGAATTAAGACTTATGAACATATGATGAAATTGACTACAGTGTGTTTACCGGACAAGTCTGGGGAGTGGGTAAACTGGTTTCTCAAAGACAAAGGACACACTGATGCCTCTAGGCAGGGGCCATCAAAGTTGATTGGCAATCGCCTGTCAGGTGGCCATTCTTTGGGAATTAAGGGGGGGCAGGAACAGATCAATCTGCATTTTAGCAAACATGGAACATCTTACATCACAAGACTCCATGTCTCCATCCTCACAACTGCAATGAACTTTATCCAGGGGTAACCCTTAAGAAAATGCATTCCAAAGCATGGCTGCACTATAAAAGTAAGGGGTTAAAACACCCCAGGTATTCTCTCTCTCTCTCAGTGTCTCTCTTTTACCTAAGAAGACAAAGGAACTAGCCATTTGAATTTGGTCAGTCCTGTTGCTGGGAACTTGTGGTAAGGATTTTACCTTGAACCAAATCTAGCTTGTTAAGTTTTAGCTACTAGGAAGCATTTAATCTTTATTTTTCTTGTAACCATTTCTGACTTTAATGCCTTTTACTTATAGTCATTTAAAACCTGTCTCTTTGTAGTTAAACACATTTGTTTTATTTTTAATCTAAACCAACCCAGTGTTATGTTTACCACTGTTTGGTAACTCCAGTTAAAGTAGCAAACTGTTGGATATTGACCCCTCACAGGGGCAATGGACCTTGAATATCTGAAAAGTCCAGGAGAGGGCTGGACAGTGCAGAACACACATTTTGGGAAAATTTGGGACTGGAAGTTTGTTGGGGATCAACCTGTAAGTAGTAACCAAGGCTAGTGGAAGCCAGAGTGTGACTGGTGTGTTGCTGCGGGCTGCTGAGGTCTGAACTTCTGCACCAGGGCTACAGCTATACACATATGCTCAGGGTGTGGTTTGCATGCTGTTTGGCTATTTGTAAGTGGCCCATGTTGGGAGCTATAACAAAGCACTGTGAGTCCCTCAAGGTTACAGGACAGGTGGTGACACAACCCCTCACTGATGTGGATTGCACCCTGGAACGTGACACTATCCCAGGTTTCCAAGACAATGTGATTGTGCCACACTGTGCTGGTTCTCCAGAACTGACAGTCAACCAAAAAGCATACTGTGCCAATGCCGGCATTCTACACATCTGTCAAGGTCAGTCATCTCAGACATGACAGCAAATTCTGCCCAAATTCCATCCATTCTCTCACCGAGCGACTCATCCACTGCATAAATATTTCTCCCGCAAAAAGGAGCAAGAACTGATCATCCAATTGATCTCTTACTTTGATCCAGTTCTGTAGGGAATAGAAGTGAGGGGCAACATGATCAGGAAGTGCCATTGGCAAAGTGTAAACGCAGGGAATGCTACGAAGAACACACAACAAAGTGATTCATAGCATGTCTCCCTGTGATGCACAGAAACCTGGGTACCACCCCTGAAACAGTCGCACTAATAACATGTACCTAGAGCGACAGTGTGGATTCAGGTTTAGGCATGTACACAGCGTTATGCCTGGACCCTGGGGTGTGAATATGGGGAGCATGAAAATGATCCATTACTCAGTAATGGATGCAAGTGTAGACATAGCCATAGACCCTTGCTCTTATGAGCAAATTGCTTTGTTGTTCCTGAGCTTTTTCCCCCCATGAAATTAATTTATATCCAACATAAAAGTGAATAGGAATAAAATGAGCATGTTGTGTTGAAAGTTTTATTATTTCTGTGGAAAAAAACGATAGATGTTTGCTACAAATATGAGACTATAATTAATCTGAGTTGTGCTTTGGTCACTGCTGGGCAGTTTCACACGTTTGTTTATGCTATGATTCCATCAGAATTTTATGAATAGCACTAATCTAGTCATGTACTGTCTCAAAAGTAAATTATTTTTCCTTGGGTTCATGGAAGGCTGACCCAAGCTGTCGTACTTTAATGCTATACATTGGTATTGCACTTTCCAACTTCAAAGTACTTCAGTGATTTTGGACCACTGAAAGCAATGAAGTTACAACTGGGAGGCACTGGAATTATTAACTAATTCATGTTCACTGCACCCATGTGTGGTAAATAATTATTACGATCTGCATGTTACAGATAGGGAAAATGAGGGAGAGATGTCAAAGCCCAGAGTTTCATTACTGGCCTCTAATTTTGGGTGTATTAGTTTTTGGATTCCCCAGTTTCAGCTCCTAGGCCAAGTTTTAAATAAAAATAGATTCCTAAAGGTAGACTCCTGAGGGGGCAGCTAAATAAATGTACATGTGTAGTTGTTGGTTCAAAGAAGCTCACTGCTTTGCCAGTGCAAGATGAAGAATCATGGCAAAAGGAACTTAAATCTTAAGTTTGTAAAGTGTGTGAGCTGAATAACCAAAGTATGGCGCAAGGAATTTACAGGTCAAACTGCACAGATTAAATAAAAGAGAAAATGTAAATACAAAAACTAGCATTAATACAAAATTATGGCCTCCGTAGAGGAAATCACTTAAGCACATGCTTAAATTCATCCCTATTCAGAACATTACTTAAGCACATGCCTATAGTTAAGCATTTGTGTAAATGCTACCCTGAACAGAGATACTTTCCTGAATCAGGGTTTATAGTGCTTGGCTGGCAACTGTAAGCCACAATTAATCCTCTGTGTGTGGAAAGTGTGAGGAAATACTAATTGTTAAGGTTTGTCCAGCAACATTTACTTAGCTACATTGTATGGTTGGTATGGGATTTTTCAAAAGCATTCAGTGCTATCCTAAATCTATTCCCATTGAAGTCAGGATGGGAGCAATGTTAGGCCTGTGCTGAGTGCTTTTGAAAGTGCCACCTATGGAATATTTGCTATTCCTTTTTCCTTTATGAAAGAATAACTATAATGTATTACTGCATGAGTAACTGGGATGGGCACTGGAATTAAAATCCTAGTGTTGGGCACGAGTGAAAAATAAGGTTTTATCCTAGTTCTCATCACAAAATCATCTCCACATGATTGCCTGTCTCCATTCCACAGAAGCCAGCTGCTGAAATAATAGTGATTATTATGGGGTGAATCAGCTGCGGGTGGAACCTTGCATAGAATCTTCACTGCTATGCCTGGTCCCTTGCTTTCTTGCGCACTCAAAAGTTTTTAATTCTTCTTAAAAGCCTGGCCTCTTATCTTGTCATAGACACTTGGTATCGACTGAAATCAACCTTGTTTACTTAGGATGCAACTAACAATGTGC